ACCAGCAAGCCACTATGCAAAGGAATGTTTTATGTGGCGACACTATCTGCTGACAAACTGGAATTCTTCGAAAGACATTTTAATGAAAGACATAGTGCCCTGTAAAACACATAACACCTGTAAGGGCTCGTCCGGGATTTGAACCCGGGAGCTCTCACACCCGAAGCGAGAATCATACCCCTAGACCAACGAGCCCCTGCAAAACAGTAGCTTTATATGGCAACACTATCAGCTGACGAACTGGCATTCTCAGAAAAAAGTCCTCTGTGTAAGCCACAACGCCCTTACAAAACAGCGGACAACTGTAAGGGCTCAACCGAAATTTGAATCTGGGATTTCTCACGGCATGAACGAGAATCATAGTCCTAGACAACCAAACCACTATGCAAAGAAATGCTTTATGTGCCGACACTATCTGCTGACAAACTGGAATTCTTCGAAAAACGTTTTTTATGAAAGCCATAATGCCCTGTAAAACAAAAGAATAACTGCAAGGGCGTGTCCGGGATTTGAACCCGGGACCTCTCGCACCCTAAGCGAGAATCATACCCCTAGACCAACGAGCCACAAAAGCTTGATTATTTTACAAGACATCAGATGGAACAGATGGTCAGAAATCCTTATCTAACAAACATTGAAGCAGGGCTTTTGCTTCATTTGGACCCGGGACTTCTGCAATGGTTCGTCCAGGATTTGAAAACGAGACCTCTCGCATCTTAAGCGAGAATCATGCCCGTAGACCAACGAGCAACTGCAAAACAGCCACTTTACATGGCAACACTATCTGCTGACAAACCGGCATTCTCAGAAAAAAGGCCTCTGTGTAAGCCACAACGCCCTTACAAAACAAAAGACAACTGTAAGGGTTCAACTGAAATTTGAACCTAGGATTTCTCATGGCATGAACGAGAATCAAACTTCTAGAACAGCAAGCCACTATGCAAGAAATATTTTTTGTGGCGACACTATCTGCTGACAAATTGGAAATCTTTGAAAGACGTTTTTCCGAAAGACATAATGCCCTGTAAAACACAGTACACCTGCAAGGGCTAATCCAGGAACTGAACCCGGGTCCTCTCGCAACCGAAGCGAGAATCATACCCATAGACCACCGAGCCACTGCAAAACAGCAACTTTATATGGCAACACTATCTGCTGACAAACTGGCATTCTCAGAAAAAAGGCCTCTGTGTAAGCCACAACAACCTTACAAAACAGCAGACAAGTGTAAGGGCTCAACCGAAATCTGAATCTGGGATTTCTCATTGCATGAACGAAAATCATACGCCTAGACCAGCAAGCCACTATACAAAGGAATGTTTTATGTGGCGACACTATCTGCTGACAAACTGGAATTCTTCGAAAGACATTTTAATGAAAGTCATAGTGCCCTGTAAAACACATAATACCTGCAAGGGCTCGTCCGGGATATGAACCCGGGACCTCTCTCAACCAAAGCGAGAATCATACCCCTAGGCCAACGAGCCACTACTTTGATAAAACTTCACATGGCGTCAGAACCATCAGATAGTCAGAAAACTTTCTCTAACGAATCAATGGCACCCTAAGCGAGAATCATACCCCTAAACCAACTAGCTACTGTAACAGCCACTTTACATGGCAAAACTATCTGCTGATAAACTGGCATTCTCAGAAAAAAGGCCTCTGTGTAAGCCCGTAGACCTTACAAAACAGCAGACAAATGTAAGGGCTCAACCGAAATTTGAATCTGGGATTTCTCATTGCATGAACGAAAATCATACTCCTAGACCAGCAAGACACTATGCAAAGGAATGCTTTATGTGGCGACACTATCTGCTGACAAAGTGGAATTCTTAGAAAGACATTTTAATGAAAGTCATAGTGCCCTGTAAAACACATGACACCTGCAAGGGCTCGTCCGGGATTTGAACCCGGGACCTCTCACACCCAAAGCGAGAATCATACCCCTAGACCAACGAGCTACTACTGTTATAAGATTTCACATGGCGTCAGAAGCATCAGATAGTCAGAAAACTTTCTCTGACGAATCAAGGGCACCCTAAGCCAGAATCATACCCCTAGACCAACGAGCCACTGCAAAACAGTAACTTTACATGGCAACACTATCTGCTGACAAACCGGCATTCTCAGAAAAAGGCCTCTGTGTAAGCCACAACGCCCTTACAAAACAAAAGACAACTGTAAGGGTTCAACTGAAATTTGAACCTAGGATTTCTCATGGCATGAACGAGAATCATACTCCTAGACCAGCAAGCCACTATGCAAGAAATATTTTATGTGGCGACACTATCTGCTGACAAATTGGAATTCTTTGAAAGACATTTTTACGAAAGATATAATGCCCTGTAAAACACAGTACACCTGCAAGGGCTCATCCGAGAATTGAACCCGTGTCCTCTCGCAATCGAAGCGAGAATCATACAGATAGACCAATGAACCACTAAATTGAGAGAATTTCACAAGGCGTCAGATAGTCAGAAATCTTTCCCTAACGAATCAAGGGCACCCTAAGTGAGAATCATACCCCTAGACCACCGAGCCACTGCAAAACAGCAACTTTATATAGCAACACTATCTGCTGACGAACTGGCATTCTCAGAAAAAAGGCCTCTGTGTAAGCCACAACGACCTTACAAAACAGCAGACAACTGTAAGGGCTCAACCGAAATTTGAATCTGGGATTTCTCATTGCATGAACGAAAATCATACTCCTAGACCAGCAAGCCACTATGCAAAGGAATGTTTTATGTGGCGACACTATCTGCTGACAAACTGGAAATCTTCGAAAGACATTTTAATGATAGACATAGTGCCCTATAAAACACATAACATCTGCAAGGGCTCGTCCGGGATTTGAACCCAGGACCTTTCACACCCAAAGCGCGAATCATACCCCTAGACCAACGAGCCACTAAATTGAATTTATTTCACATGGTGTCAGAAGCATCAGATAGTCAGAAAACTTTCTCTAACGAATCAAGGGCACCCTAAGCGAGAATCATACCCCTAGATCAACGAGCCACTGCAAAACAGTAACTTTATATGGCAACACTATCAGCTGACGAACTGGCATTCTCAGAAAAAAGGCCTCTGTGTAAGCCACAACGCCCTTACAAAACAGCAGACAACTGTAAGGGCTCAACCAAAATTTGAATCTGGGATTTCTCACAGCATGAACGAGAATCATAGTCCTAGACAACCAAACCACTATGCAAAGGAATGTTTTATGCGCCGACACTATCTGCTGACAAACTGGAATTCTTCGAAATACATTTTTTTGTCTTTATTTTAACAAAACAAAAAAGAACAGAACAATGACAACAGCTTACAACCAAGAAATTTCTTAGCATCACAGCACATAATGAAAAATAACCAAAGTTTATGGTGATCTAAGGTTTTGCAAAAATGTACCTGAAATCCTAGGACCTACATATTCAAGCAACGGAGTCCAGATCTGATAAAAAGTGTTTTTCTATGGAGAGATTAGACTCAATAATAATTCACGCAAAAGACACGATGTACACATGCGTAGCCAAATTCACATGCGTAAAATATTTATTTATACTCACAAAAACAATTCACATGCACAAAATAAAAATACATTTTCACAAAATACATTTCACAAATGCAAAACACCATTTGCAAATATATAAGAGTGTACAAAAAGTTTTGAATGTTTAAAATTCACGAGTTCATCCTGAATGAGAATGTGCAAATCCTCTCTCACGTACGACTCACCCTGAATACGAGTGTGTGCATTTTTGAGACTTTCCTGTCAGCACACGCCTCCCACGTGAGTCACTCGTGCCCTGTAGCCAATAAGATGCGAGCTTACTGTTCAACCAATCACAACTCCCTGAGAACGTGGGAATGACCGAAGCGCTTCACTGTGCGCTCCATTTGCGCAGTCTGACCTAATTAACGGAGATGATCCTCTAAGAAGAAGAATACTCCTCTATTTAGCATGGCAGGTGAAGAGCGGGATGCGCGGGTAAGTGGTTACTTGATTTCTATAGTGGTTTATGTATGCAAAGATTAAGTATCAAACGTTTGTTAAAGCAATGGCTGTTGTTGTTTATAATGTAATCTTTATAACGTAAATTAAGTCCGTTATTAAGCCAACATGGCGAGTGAAGAACGGGATGGTCGTGTAAAATAGCATGGCTTCTGTCATGGTCGATTCTAGGATTGTCATTCAAGGGAGCTCAGCTATAAATTTGATCGAGGACTAATTTGGGGGTGGAATCGATCGCGTACTAAAGTGAAGACCTGGAGAGCGTAATGCCGTTTTGGGTGTGGGTGGGTATGGGGGGTGGAGAGAGGAGATGATCGCCGACTGTAAGGAACGGGCGGGGTGGGGGTCGGCAGTGTTGATCGCGGACTATGAAGATAAATGATAAAAGGTATAATTGGTATTTGTCTTACAGGCACTGTCATCAGAAGTAGAAATAGCAGCAAAAGCTCTGATCGATGTATTAGCCAGGGGCCTTACTCCATCTTCGTAAAGAAATGCACTAGCTAGTGGTAGTAGACCAATGAGAGAAAGCATCTCAAGTGGGACCATTCCTTTGCCTGCAGAGCCTGAAAACATGGTAAGGCAAGCCTTAAAAAGGTAATTTTTCATGTTTACTGTAAAACACAACTTTTTGTGTCATGCAAAAAATGTTTCTTATTATTAATATGTTTATTCATTTTGCCCTTTTGTCACTATAGGCAATTCCCAAGTATGTTTGGGACAGAGATTTTTCTGTGGCCAAACCTGGAAACATTAAAAAAACTGATTTTCAAATCCATGTCCTCTCTGAACCATCACCCTTCACACCAAAAGGAGATGAAGACCTTGAGCTTGTCCATGCTGGACTTGGAAAAAGGCTTTTAACTGTTCCAGATAATTTTAAATACAGTGAGGTAATTGCAAATGTTACCATAATACTAGGAATTTATGGGAGTTTTATATCTGTTGGAAAAAAAAAAAATAAAATAAACGATGAATTTTGTTTCATTCTTAAGATTGTCAGTCTGCTTGAAGGAGAGTTTCCCAAATTAAAAACACTTCAGGGTGGCTGGATGTTTTACAAGTCTACAGGTATTTATGTTTTGCATGTTACATATAAACAAAAAATGATTTGTGTGCATTTGCAATAACTTTGCACTTTTGTAAATTAATGAAACTGGTATGTGCTTTGTTGGCGTTAATAATTTAGTAATAAGCTTCATTAGTTTAAACTTTTTAGTCAAGGACATGTTTCTCTGCCATGTTCTAAGATTATGGCATGCCCTACTTCAGTTTCCAGTGGTAAACAGAGCTTTATAGAACATTTCTGTCCAAAATTTTAGGTGACACATTTATAACAATATTGCTAGCCCAAGAAGGCAACAGTAGTCCTGAATGTGATTCTCAATTGATTTTGCCATTAGGTGGGGGTGGGCGGCGTAAGCTGTCTATAATTCCCACAGATGCTGATGGATACTCAACTCGACTCCTAAAATCAGTGTCAAATAATGGAAAGAACATGCTGTTTGTAGTTCCATTACAGGAACAGCTTTCCACTGAACCATTACCTTATGATTCTGTGGAGTTTGCTAAGATGCCACAGTCCAGCTGTATGAAATGTGGTAAGAAAATACCACTGCCATTGCTGCCCTTACACATTGAAGAGTGTAAAGAAGCTGAGACAGTAAGTCATACAGTATTATGGTTTTATTTTTCTATCAATATTATTTATTTACAATGCCAATGCATTTTGATTACTTTTATTAGGAGTCTTCAAATGATGTGACCATTCTAGATGATGATGTAGACGAAAATGTAATCGAAACTGTTGACCAGCCAAGCCCACTTCACCCCATCTTAGAACCATCATTACAGGTCTTTGATCAAAGCCTATTTCTTGTATTTGGGTATACTCACTATATTTGAATATACCCAATTCGTGGTTCCATAAAGAATGTGTTTGAAGCTATTAAAAATTTGAGACTATTCTTAATATTTTAGAATCTTTTTATGGGGTAGAATATGTATGTTCTTCAACAAATTTGCTACAAACATACATTGTTTAATTTATTTTTACTTTTTACAGATTTGTCCAATTTGCCAGATCTCTTTCCCAACTGATGTCTTGCCTTTTCATGCAAGCATGTGTGGTGAAGGGTAAAGTTATGCTAAAAATTGTAGGATGACATGCCTTTAATACTAAAGGATTAGTTTGCACAGTTTGTTTTGGTTGTATATATCTCGAGGGAGATGTACAAAGATCAGATGGAATGTAGGGTAAAAAATTAACAAAATAATTTTCTGGTGGACTGTCTTAAATTTAAATTAATGTGTTGGTTTCATAAACTGGGTCAGTAGTAGACATTATTAGATTTGATGTATGTAGCTTTTATAAGCCTTGCTTTGAGAAAATCATTACTGGTGACTTTTGACATTAATGACTATAAACAGTATGTCATTGTAAGTTACATCCAGACTTTGTCTGGCACTAGGGTCTAAGCCTTGTCTATGAAACTGGGCAAATGCTTTTAATATGCATGAACATTTTTGAAGTGGCTTAATGAACAAAATTGAAATTGTTTGTGTCTTGCCTGTTTTAGAGAAAGGACTTTTGGTGACAATGATTCTTCATTCACTTTAAATACAGAAGAATTGCCAGGACCCTCAACTGCACAATCTTCAACATCCCTGTCTGCAGGTTAGACACAACACATTTAAATTTTTTTTAGTGCTGTTGTACTGTAAAATGATAAGTGCATCTTTATTCATTTATTCTTTCATCTTTTTTGTATTGTTATTCAACTATGCTTGTAAAATGGTATTTAGATAAATTGTTCATTTGATTTCAGCATGGAAAAATGAAATTGACCCATTCAAACCATCTCGAATGTTCTGTGATGAGTTGCTCTCCATCAATTCACACTGTCCATCTCTATCATTACTCATCAACCAGTTTGATACTATGGATGAACAAGATAGTACCCTGGTTTCATTTTATAAAATGAACAGTGCTAATTGGTCCACTCCATTGAAATATAGATTGACTGGTACTCCTTTTTTATTATTAAAATAATTTGAATCGCTTATAGTCTGTACAGTTTGTGCAACGAACTTGCTTCATTTTGTATTTTTTTTTAGGAGATGCAGCTGTTGGCAAGGGAGTTAACCGCCATATTTTGTCAATGATGATGCAAAAACTGAAGACTGGCTTCACTTTAAATTTGGGTTTGTAATTGGTTGCAGTTCGGTTACATGTGCACACACACACACACACGCACACACACATATATACATATATATATATATATATATATATATATATATATATATATATATATATATATATATATATATATATATATATATATATATATATATATATATATATATATATAAAGTTAATTTTCGTCAACACTGCCTGTAACCCTGACCTTTTTCTGTATGATTTCGTGCACTGTACTTGAGAAGCCTTTTGCACACCTGATAAGATGTAAAATGTTCATAACATTATCTTCTATTTACTGGTGGGCAATGCAGATCGATGCTGACTGGTACCACCACAGTGCATACAGAGAAAACATTTGTTTAGAATTTTACAGATGTGATTTGATGTTTTATGTCTCTTTTGCTTTTGGGCTATTACAGATTTTATACAACTAGTACTATTAGTTAATTCTTACTGATTGGATTTTTTAGGTTCATCTACTACAGCCCTTTTTGAGGGGGAAAAAAAACACCGTGTACCTTCTGCATCTGCTGTACTACGGGACAGCAACCTGTTCCAGATGGCTGGCCGGATGATAGGCCATTCATTTTTGCATGGAGGTCCTAGTCTTTCTGGACTGAGCATACCTGTGGTCATATAATCAGCTCAGACCTTGTTTATTTTAAAATAATTTAATTCACAGGAATTAGAAAAATAAGAAAGTTACATTTCTTTTCTAATTCTCCCCAAAATTAAAGAACTTCAGTTAAAATGATTAATGATGTGTCTCCATCAAAAGAATTCCTGAGATTAAAAGTTGATACTGAGGAGAACTTGTCAATTTTGTGAAAGTTATTGAAAACACTGAGCATGTTTACACAATTGCATATACTCATGTACATGACTCATAACACATAATGTCGCGCACATCATTAATTCTATTTTATTTACTTGTGTAAATATATATTTATTCACTTTTTAAATTAAATACAGTAATATTATTGACTAATATGAAAATGTTTATCTGATTTATGTACAATGCAGTTTTTACAGTAATATTTTTTGTCTTTTAGTAGAAATATTATATGAGTGACTTGCTTTGTTTATAAAATAAAGTGTATCTAATTGGATTTGCATTTTAAACATTAAATAAAAGTTTAAAAGATAATATTTTTTGTTTCACATATTTAGGTTTTAGTTATAATACTCCCAAAATATTTTAACAGAAATCCACAGATTGTTATCAATATTCTTCGCAGAAATAGCAAAAAACGTTGACAGATTCTTTCTGGCCCTACTCATGACTCATAATACGTAATGCATAATACAGAATGTCTCATGTCAATATCCATTTAAACCCTTTTTACAATAAACAAGTTAAATTTGGTGTAACTAAAACAAATTGTACACAGCATTACCTGGTTAACAACCTTTTATGCTTTGCAAAACATTCTTCATTTATAAATGCAGGTTTTTGGACCTTTTTTTTAAGTGTGACTTTGAGATTATTAGACTCATGTAAGGCCTAATAAAAGTATCCTCTTTCAATTTTTATTTTGCTCACCTATCATTGCTGGTTAGTAATAGTATATATATATATATATATATATATATATATATATATATATTAGGGATGCACGATATATCGGCGGCCATATCGGTATCGGCCGATAAATGCTATTTTTAGGACTATCGTTATCGATCCGATGTCTAAATTCGGCCGATATCTTTAAGCCGATAAATTACGTAATTGTTCAGACTTGCCCACTGCACTATAATGGATCTCTCTTCACAATGTTTATTCCTTCAAAGTCTGTAATTTCTTCAAGTGGTATAGCTGTGCGTTAATAAGTCAGTAAGTAACCATGTTCCTTATCATTGTAGATGTGTTTGATTGAGTGTCATTGTGTATTTTGCTTTAAATCGCCTCAGGAAAAATATTAACTATGAAAACTTTTCCAGCTCTGTCTCTTTGTTGTGTAGAGATAGCAGGGGATCTTAACTTATTACTCCAGGGCCGAATAATATTAGTTTCGTGGTGAATTGCCTTCTCTTTTAGTTGCAGCCGGTGAATGAATGAGGACACATGTAACTTGGTCCAAAATATTTATTACTTTCCGTGTGGTACAACAAATCAGTCACCTAAAATAGTCTCATTGCCCAAAAGCCGCTCCTCTCTCTCTCCCTCTCCCTCTACGCTTCACACACACACACACCAAACTGCAACTGGACCCGCACATTTTACAACACGTGTAAACAGTTGTTTGTAATCTGATTATTTGTTATTATCAACGCGTTGCTTGTCATGTGTTGTTGATGTAAGATGTATTCAGTTTGATCTAAATATTCATATTGATTATGACGAGCGCACGAGCTGTCACCGCGCGCACACACACACTGTAGCACGTGAGGTGGATCTTGTGCTTTTTAAAGTGTGAAGTTAATATATATATTCAAAGTGTATGTATATAATCTGCTTGTAGACTTGCATACCATTAGAAGAATTACCATTTCACAAGAACTGGATAAGTTATATAGTTACCAGGTTTGGGTCAGGGGTTAACCTAGGTGGAAATTGAGGTCAGGGGTTAACCTAGGTGGAATGTGTGTGATAAATGTAGAACTAAGACAAAAACAGATGACAGAGGTGGAATTTGGAGTCAAGGGTTAAACCAGGAGGGATCTTGTGTGACATATGTACAACAAAGGAAAAAAACAGACTATTTAAACGGGCCAGAACCTGAGTGAGACAGAATTTTTCAGACAGAGATGCTACTGGGCGTCTCCTGAAAGTTCTCCTTTGTTGTCGACAATAAAGTATATTCTTCTGATATTCATAACCTCCAGACTGAGTTTGATTTAGTAAGAGAAGAACCAAGAAAACCACCACATTTGGCGTCCCTGGGTGGGCTGGAAAGGAGCAGGACTGGTGTTACTGTGCATGCTGGACTGGAGAGAAAACACAAATATGTGGCCACAATAAAAAACGGTAAGCGATTTTATGCTTATTAGTTTGTGTTTTTTCTGCCAGGACCTGCTTGTACAGGTAAATACACTTGAACTGTTTCTCCAGCTTTAAAGAATTAAAAGTAAATGTAAAAAAGATATTAAAGAAAAAAGGGGTTTTGAATAACAGAAGAAAAAGAGTAATTTGCATGCAAATGATCTGTGTTTTCCTAAGAGGGCCTTGATGGATAGGATAAACATTAACTAGTAACTGTTACTCAGATTTGGGAAATTATTAATGATATAAGATATGCATAGAGCATTTATAAGTTTTAAGAGAGAGTCTTTAATGTGTGGTGACAGTTAAGAGATTAAAGCAGAGTAAGGTATGCAAATGATCTGTGTTTTCCTAAGTGGGCCTTGATGGATAGGATAAACATTAACTAGTAACTGTTACCCAGATTTGGGAAATTAATAATGATGTAAGAAATGCATAGAGCATTTATAAGTTTTAAGAGAGAGTCCTTAATGTGTGGTAACAGTTAAGAGATTAAAGCAGATTAAAGTAGAGAGATGCGCGCTAAGACCTACGATACCGCTTTGTTAAATGAGATAAACAAAGGGCTGCATGGGTAGGCGAAAGCCTGTGGTTACCGCTCTAAGGTTAGAGGGCTGCTCGGACAGGTCACTCAAGAGGAGTGTAGTGTAGAGTATTTATTTAATTGAAGTGTTTGTGTATTTGATGCTTCAGATTGTGGCAAAATAGTCCACATAGGTGGGCAGAGAAGACTGCCTTCCTCCTCCTTGAATGGAATGAGGATGGGGGGATGCAGCTCCTGTTACACTGAGTGGAGGAGAGGAGTGAATGAGAAGAGGAAAAGTAATAAGATTAGAGATGTGAATGCGTTTAAAAGTATGTTTTCAATAAGGAGTAGGTTAAAATAATGATTATAGTAGATTATATAAAAGGAGGGCTGCATAGGTGTGGTGTGATATAAAGAACAAGAAGAAAAGTGATTGATGCAGTTTAAGAGAAGAGATTATAATATAAAGGAGGAGTCTCTTAAATCAAAACTAATGGAACATGTTGCATTTGAAAGACACAGAGTAAAAAGCAGAAGAATATAATAGTTACACATTTTTCTGAAATTATCTTTGTGTTTTAAGTTTGAATATGTTAAAAAAGAACAATAGGCAGAGTGAACTTAAATTCCTGACATAGCAATAGGTGAAAGACAGTCTGCTCCAGGATGGGGGTAAGGGAGAGATTTATGGTGTCCATGTGGGAACAATAAATAGATTGTCTATTTACAGCATTAGGGAAACAGAGAAGAGGAGAGTTAATGAGAGGAGATCAAACTATAGATAAAATAATGACATAGACTTTAACATAATTTGGATAGAATATAAGTTATTAATGAATAGACAAATTATAAAGTAGTATAGTAAGATAAATGAAATAAGAAAGTACTAATAACAGAGTTATATTACATAGAAAAGAGGTTAAAACTGTACTAATGAAAAATAATAAATGAAGCCATAGTGATCAATATATAGAGAGATAAAGGAAGTATAGAGTAAAAGCATGTATTAATAAACCAATAGATTTACTAAATAAATATCAATGAATAACATATAAGTTAGGTCTTTGATTGAGAATAAAATAGAAAAAGAAAACTTGAAAATGAATATTGATTAATTGAAGATTTAATTATAAAATGTGTAACAAAATAAGTTTTAAAATGTATAAGAAAACCTAAGAGCTAAAAACCTAAATTACAGAAAGGAAAAAGAATAAAATAGAAATAGGAAAAAATAAGTCCACTGTTTCATAGATAAAATTAGATGTTTAAAATATGCTTACAATATAGGCACATTGAACAGATAAGATAAAAAGAAAAAAGCAGTAACAATTTAAAGAAATAATTGACTTCAGAGAATTTGATTGGATTTAAGGGAAAAAAAATGTTTTGTCATCTTTCTCAAAGTCAGCTATGTCATTTGTTTGTAGTAAAGTACAGTGATTCAGATGAAAATCATAGAAGCTAGGTAAATGTTAAAGAATGCATTAGAGTGAGTTAAAAAAATTAAGCTAAATTGATAAGTAAACAT